TGATTAGACTGAACATGGACGACATTTTCGATGCATTTTTGCAAAAAACCGTGACATTAAGAATATAATGTAGTATTACGATTGTTCTAGCAATAAGTACCTCTACTTGTAGCTAACCTATGGTTGGTCTTTGACATCATTTCATTTATTGTTAATATCGGTAACAATTTTTGGAATAAAGAACTATCTATCCACCGATAGGGTAGAAAAAATGTATTCTATCCATTTTGGTGTACCGTGTAGATATGCCTGAAATATTTTATGCCCCTAATGAAATAAGATGCGGTGTTTCAATTTAATAACCCCAGCACTTGGCAATTTCCGACGTTGCGGTTATTAATTTTAGTTCATGTCCGTTACTGACAGGTGCATTTTCATGCATGCATATTCAAAAGAAAAATTTATGAAAATTTGGAAATTTCGAGATAAATCAATCAATCATAATATTCGGCAAACAATATACCCAAATTTTAGTTCGCATGGAAAACTCAGCGGGTTTCCTAGAGAAAATTGGATTTCATTCAATATCGATAGTAGTTGGGAAACGCGGTTTATGTACAGAAAACAATGTCTGACGCTAACGACGCCGCCGGAAACGAAGAGGACCATTTTCCACCGTGATGTTAAAATGGAATTTTACTTCACGGACAATGACTCGTCGTAAATTGAATGTAACGGGCATATGTAATACGCTTATTGTGAAAACATGGTTGCATGAACATCATCTGGTCTTGAATACTGAGAAGACTAATTATGTTGCTTTGCGTTTGACTATAGCATATAATCAGATTCAGACTACATAAATTCAATATTGGGTTATAATTATTTATCCATATCATATGTTGTTTGTCTAAGAAAATGAGAAAATCGGTACGTATTTTTTACAAGATCACGCAAATTATGTCAGTGTCTCTTATACGCTAAGGTCCGAGGGAAAATCAGACTCACCTATACATAGTTTCTCAATTGCGACTCAGTAATAAAATGCGAATTTGCAATGCAGATTCATTATCAAGTTGGACAACTAAAATCTTATATCGTAAAGTTCAGATAAATTTTTAAGAACTTTTAAGAAGTCAGACCTCGAATCATTACTAAATTAGGATCACACTAATTTGCGTGCAATAAAGAGTTTTCTGAATGAAACCAATGTGACTACGGCATTATTACAGATAATTTATTAGCATAATAAATATAATAATAATTATAGTAATGACAATAACAAAATTTACATAGAGGTAAGATTCATAATTTGACAATAGATAAGTTGTAAAAGAAACTGACATATAAAATACAACTTTACTTGGAAATGTTAGTCATCATGTGCCGGGTAGTCAGACCAACATAGTAGCTGGATTCCTGAGCTATAATAAGGGGCTTCCCACATTCTTTAGTCAATTTTAATAACACGACGCACTTACTCCATTTCTCACAATCTTTCTTCTGGCAAGAGGGGTTCAACGTCACTTATTTTAAAAGTGCTGCTCTGCCTTGCTAGAAAACATTTTACTTGCGCCTATACCAATTCTAAGCACCGCGATATTTCGTTTTCGAGGTTCATTCAAATTTACGATGTCCACTAGCTCCCCTTTCAGCGTATATTTCTAAAATTATGAATGATAAAGATGAGGGTATTTTTTTGGATGATCTGGAGTGACTGCTCAAGATAGGTATTTCTTTCTCAGCAATAAATTTAGGTCTACTGCATTTGTTTGTTATTCCTATAATAGGTTAATTGGATAATTTTTTAAATCTATGTACTTCCCATAATGTTTTACCCATTACGTATAGACAACTATATACGATTGACCACTACGCTCAAAGATTTAATCCATGCAAATCCACGAAACTCATAAAATTTCATATATTATTGGTGTGGTACCATGTATCAGTTGATAGATGATTTCCAAACATTTAGATTTCCGTTTTCAACAATTATGAGAGAGCTTGCATTTCTTCACTCTTACTAACATCGGTACGCTAGTGTGAGTCTCAGTCAAAACTGCGGAATTTTTTAGGCTTATATGCAATGGCGTTTATGAAACTTGTTGAATATTACATATAGCGTTTAATGTTTGAAGTGTGTCCTGCTGCAAAAGATTCTGTTTGGTTTTTGTTGTCATGTTGGCACTATTGGTTTGCTTTATAGAGGGATAAATTCGTTATAGAAAATAGTAATTTTAAATTCTATTTATACCTACTAAGCTGTCTTTCTACTTCTACTTCTACTTACTACTCCATCATTGCTGAACTAAACTACGCCTCTATGTCTAAATTTCTAAAATGAAATGTATATTTACTTAATTCATTAAAGATCTTTATTATTATTGTAATTACTACTATTATTATTAACTTCTCACTACTGTTTAAGGAATAGCCTGCCTCTACTTTAAAGGTTGCAAATTGTAATATCAGTAACACCTCCATTAATATTCATTTGTTAAATTTCCTGTTTAAACACATTCCGGAATACAAAAACATCAGCTCAAATACTTTCCAGAATTCAACAAGCCTCAAAAATTTAAAATTTCATAAAAAATGGTGAATAATATGTAGAATTTTCTTATGTCCATTTTAGTCACTTTTTTGCTCTGATGCTCGAGGTCTGATACTTAACGTGCATTAATTGTAAAATATTACTCGAATATTTTGTTACATGCTGCTTTTGTCTTAAAAGGCATATAACGAAATTAATAGTAACTGATGTACTTCAATTAATATTTCAGAATGTATAAAAATACTATACCAAATAATATTCGAATAAAATAAACCTAATCCGAAATCGACCCTGAAAGATGTTTTTTTCATAATAATTTCGATTCCTTTGTAATATTTATGCTATGGTACTCAAATAACGCAAATACAAAACTTATTTTCATTCTTCTGTCAATGACATTTCCTCACAATCCCATCGGTTACAAATAAGGAACTTGTATTGGCTGATATACACTAGTTAAGTTGTTTAGCTCTAATTTATTCTTTAAAGTGAAAATAGCGCAATATGCAGCGTATCATTTAATACACAGATTATTTAGGTGCTGTCCGAGTAATCTATAATTTTTCAATAAAATTTATTTGAAATGTTGTTGAAAAGTTGCGACGTTATTAATTATCAAACGATTCCTGAAGCACCGGTCAGGAAGTGAAGTTCGTACTATACATTTCACATCATTAGGTGGCCTATAACTGATGTTCGCATACGAATGATCTTCATATATTTAAATGAGTGAATATCAGGGACAATTTTCTGCTTTGAGTATTCAGCGTACCGATAAAGGAACTCTAGAGTTTTTAGAACGGAAAGGCTTAAGTCGAAATATAAACTGCCTTAATGCGATCTTCTTTTTGATAATTATCTGCGTCAATATCGGAAAAAGGGAACAAGAGCTGTTCATTAACGCGATCAAAGGTTTAAAATTACTTAGAAGCGAGAAAGTTGTGCTCAGAGGAAGTAATATCATGTAGATTTAAGCAGATCATGAAACTTTTAGTAGAGATTGTGATTCTTTGTCGAAAGTAACCTTCGGATTAACTAATTAATATTTTTCTTTTCTCAAATCTAGAAAATGAATGTTAAGTGATTCTTAGAATCTGCACAAATATCCTTAATTGTAAAATAACATTAATTAGGTAGGTGGGTAGATCAAGACTTATTATTTTAGCCACAAATTAGACTTATATTTTAATTAAAGTTACATATAATAATAATAAATTACTTTAAAAAAAATTATAAAAACCATTTTTTTAGGATTGTCGTTTATAGAAGCCAGTACAAAGTCTCTCTAAAAATGTTTGCGAAAAAACCCTATATAATCATGCTTCACATAATGACATATACAATATCAGACAAACTATCTATCTTCCTTTTATAAGTAATATAAACAAAAGGAAAACATGGAAAATGCGAAATAAATATTATTTTAAGGGTATATTGCCATTAATAATCCAATTAATTATTGTGTATTACATGACTGAATAGAAATCTGCTCTAAGAGGTACAGCCGGAGAATAGGAGAAAAAAGAGATACCCCAGACCCCAATCGATTGTGAAATAGTTAACCAAACCATATTTCGATAATAAAAAAGTTTTAATTTTAATTTAAAATTGAATTTGATTAATGTGAAACCAAATTTTGTTCTGTAAGCAATTTAGATTTGATTAATTTAGTTCAGGTAAATATCCTCTATTTTTTGCTACATCTAAAATCTAAAATTGTTTTGTACTATGTAAGTTAAATCATTTTTTGCTCTTATAAATAAACCTATGCAGTTTCCTTCGATTGGATTGATAGAGAGTCGTCAATCATCAAACCTAAATTTTTTGCCTTACTTACAGTATTTATGCCTCGTTCAATGTTTTCTCGGAAAAGCTAATTTTTATCGATAATAATAATTAGAAATTTTTGAGAATTAAGTTTTAGGTTATGATTTTTTGCAAATAAATTCAAATTGTTATGATCTGCGGTAAGTTTTTGTAGAACTTCTTTAATGGACTGGTTATTGGTTGGTAGGTGACTTTCAAAATTGTTGCTCACTGTACCTTATATTATTTACTATTAATTATTTAGTATGGAGGTGCTATTTTCTCTTCAAAATTCAGATAATATTACTGTTTTCTAAATATTTAGTAATATGCTTACAAATGTGTATTCTCGAATATTTTACAAACCGCTGGGAGGTTTCTTAGGGATAGCTTCTTCCAAGGACAGGTATTTTGGTCTAAAATACAGGAATTTATACAGAATTCATTAGTGCCCGAGAAAGGCATGCAAAGTTTTATATCTCGAATTCTGATTCAATCTTTCCAACTGCATTTGATTATTTTTTCAACAGCGGTTTGATTAATTGGTAGAACGTATTTTGTCTCTTCCCATATTACTGTTGCAAAAGATTAATAGAACAGGAGAGGTGGTCTCTGGTAAGTTGTCGATCTCTTGAAAAATATTATGGATTTCTGGACACGTTTGGAATTCTTTTAAAACCACTAAAAAACCATTTACCTCTCACGAACGTGACAAAAGTCTCTCTAGTGGAGTTGGACGTTATGGAGTTAAATATTTCCTGGATTGTTAGCGACGTATATCATTCGCAATATTTCGGTCAACTTTCGACGAAATTTCGGAGTTAATGAGATCACACGGACCGAGAGGTTCACACGCGCAAACCGCACCTGCGACTCTGAGCGCTACAACTTCGGCGTCCGTTTGGAAGTTTGCGAGTTCTCAATGAGATTGCGCCAACTTTACGAATTCGCTTCTTCTCCTCCTACGCGTAAGCAATCGTATCGCCTACACGCACTGATATGTTCGTTTAGTTAGGCAATTTCTTAACAGAAAGGGTTCACCGCGAGGTGCCCGTTCGAGGATTTAGTTAATATTTGGGTTACTGTAGCACACAATTGAAATTTAATTATAAAACAAATACCCAAAGATGAATAATTAAATTAAATTTAGAACTGAAGTACATATGACTTGAACTTCGATTTCGAGGGACATATGGTCATCAGATCACATTTCCTTCAAGTAATATACCATGGAGTGCGCGTATGCTACAATTTGGAATATTTCAACTTTCAATTTATGTAGCAGAAGAGACCATCAAGTTCAGTGGTCGCAGTTAACGCCCTGTTGCATGGATGCCAATAATAGCAAAGAAAAATAATTGCTACAAAATTTAAGCTTCATAATGGTCACAATGTCTACGGTCCTGTACCGGCCATGAAAGCCCTGCATATAGCTACTGGAGAAATAGAAGCCCTGCCTATGCAGGAGCTTATGGGATAACTAAAAATATTTAGGAAGATTCATTCAATATCCGCATGCGCCAGATTTTAAATCTTGTTTTTAACTAGTGACCATTCATTCGCCATTCAATAAAAAGAAAATGGCGCAATGTGCTGGTTAGTGAGTGAAATGTAGATGCATGTGCAAAAACTCATTACCTTCTCTACGAAAATTTCAATGCTACCTGCGGCGTATCAATTTTTACAGTAGTAGGGATACTATATTTTCTAATAGCCATATGCAGATAAATGAAGTGTGAGGCAAAGTTAGCAACTTACAGATTATATCAGGCGGTCCTGGACAGGTCCCATGTAGTTGCAGCATTCTAGAACCGCCATCAGATATAATAACATAATAACAGAGGAAACGCAGCTTTAATTTACCAGTGAAGGTGTTGAGATAATAATCTAGGGGATGTAGACAAAGAAGGAGGAGGTGATGGTTGAGGGAGGGTAGGTACGGTGGTGCTAAGAGGGGTGTTGGATCGAATGGCCTTGAGCGGACCCATTTCCGCTAATATGAACCAGAAATTTTCTTATGGGAATTTACATGTAAAAATGGCCGAAATTCCTATTGAACGCATATACCTATTCTACTGCAAGAATGCTTACAGCAAGGCCACTCACACAGAGAAATATATAGGATAGGCAGGCATGAATAAGGTAACCCTAACATGAATGCCTTGATAATATGGCCAGGTTATGAAAGGAGAATGGGCAAACATCATCGATGGTCGGAGGTGGGAACGAACGTGAAATAGGCCTACTTTGGATACTTTTACGAGTTTTTACTTCTAAAGCGTTTTTGAAAAATGTTTTAAATTTGACAAAAATTAGGATTACACATACACGAGCACATTATCACTACCATTTCACAGTAAAAGTTATGCCTCACTACTCAAAAAAATAAAAAAAATGTTTCGGGGGAAACTTTGACCAAACAAAAATACAAGTGGTTATAAAATACAACGACAAACTAAAATATTTTACACTGTTTAAGAATAGGTATTATTATTAATATATTATTGCAGTAAAAATTTTGATAAATTAAAACCAGCAGAAGATACTGCAAATGTAAGCCTGATTTGATGGGTGTGGTATGTAGTATTTGGCAGATTTTCGTCAACCTTTGTGGTTGCAATAAGCGATTCGTCTTCGATCAGTTGACAAAAAATATGTAAATAATGTAAATAGGTGCGAAAATTTCACATGTAAAAATTTCATTTAAGACCAAACAAGGTTCTACTTTTAATGTCTCAAAAATTTTACGTCATTATTGCGGACCATATATTTCTAATTTTTGTCCAACATTATATTTTATAGTCTTTTTCGCATCAAGGTTCACCATTATAAAACTCTCTTCGGCGACGATTAGTGTATAAAAATTCATTCTCTTCTAATTAAATTTTAGTATGTCCTGTATTCAATTTTCAAAAAAAAATTATCACCATCGGACTCATCTCGCAATTGAAATTCATTATCATTTCTTTATTTGCTACTGTTTTTCTTAGTTTCCTGTACGACCGACCCTTCTCGTATTTCAAAATCCTCTATAGTTATGCCTTTCCCAGGTTCTACATCAATTTTCTTTTTCTCAGACAATCGTCTTTTTTCCAAAAGATAAGGGATACTATCATTAAAATCGTTCTACGAACTCACCCGAAGATGCTAGTTTGGTAATCAACCATTTCCACTTGAATAGTGCAGGATATGTATCTTTTTATAAACCAACTGTTCCGGAGGACGTTTTAAAATCTTCTAAGATGGTCCAATTTTTCTTAAATCCAGCCAAATATGTCACATCCAAGGGTTGAGCTATTTGTGTGGCATTAGAGGTAATAAGAGAGCTCTACTACTTCCTCGGAGAAATGGCTGGCTAAATTGTATCCATTTAGTAATTTAGGTCCAGTCGACAAAAGTCACAGAGTCAACCCAACCTTGAAAAATGCATTTGCACCTGCATTTATCTCGACCGCTTTCTATTCAAGATCTCCACGTATTTTCTCCTTTATATACGACACGGGAAGTACTTCTCCTTTTGAATTTCCCCAAAACATTAGTAATATATTTCGGAATAACCCTTTCCAAGCATTTCACTCCTTTTTTAAAGAACCACTTTGTTGATCCAGGCTTGTCACTTAAGCAAGTCTCGTAAAAATTATTATTTACCCGAGAAACCGAGTGACTTCTGAAGATTATCGAAGTAAGTGCCAAATACAATTCTCTTCATAAAGCAGTGCGGTGATATATTTTGATCTTTTGTGAAATATATTAGATTTTCGTGTCATTCAAAGCCACTTCTTATCCAGTCCCTCCCAGGCAAGTTGATTTTAAACTTTGCAGTTTTCACTATTCTATTACAATGTGCTTGCAAAATGTGACGCAAGTTGTCATTACTAATCGCATACCCCATTCGGCCGTTTGTGGAAGTGTTTTGAGAATGACACTTTCATTATCTAAAGCTACCACAGTCGTCCAATCCTACTACTAGTATGCTTGGTGTGCTTCTTATAACTTTGGCAATTTCATATTTCTTCTGGAATAGTTAAGTTCTTTCCTAATGCCACCCAACGCCTGCCTGATGTCTGGAGTAATACTTATAACGTCTACTTATAACGTATACTGTATACTAAAATATTACCGGCTTAAATCCCCCGAGTTTTCGCAACACGATAAATGATTGACACGAATAAAATCCTTAAAATATGTTGTTTAAAGCAACCCTACGATTGCCAAAAATTTGCATAGTAATTTGTTTCATATTTATTTATTTCTATTTTAATATTCTATTATAATATATTATATACCATTTCATAACGCAACATTTCGATACCTTTTAGCGGTTGATAATGACGTCATCATATTTAATTTTTTTCATCGAATACGGATTTCAGTAAATGGGCTAATAGGTTGGTACATGTGAACTATATTTATCAAGAGGTCATTTTCGATAACAGAAATAAATCACAATCTGTAAGTTAGAGAAACAACTGAAAATGGCGTCTAAATGTTCAAAGTTAGGCTCCTGTTCCACGGTACTCAAATCTAACGGACATATAGTCCCACAAAATAACGGATTGAAGTTTATGCTTTATAAAATTGGTACTGGTCGCTGTCAAAGGCAGACAAGACCTAAAACCCAAAACCAAAGCCTCAAATGTATAATTGTTAATCGACAAAACTTAATATACTTTTCATGGCGCATTCTATTCCATGGAATATTACCTGCTCCAGTCTCGAGATTCTAATCCTCAATGGTACGGAATAACTACGTTGTGCTCTATGAATGCAATTAATTCAATATTTACTGAAAGTCGTGTAACGGAGACTGTTGCTCCTATATAAACGTGAGTTAAATATGTCCTTGCTTGCGTCACTGTAAACGATCTGACTCAATTAGGTTATAAATATACCCGGAAATGTGAACAATATCAGCCTCGCGTATTGATCCAGGTCGAATTATTGTCAATCAATCGGTTTTCCTCAATCTAACTAGGCCGTAGACTTCATCCGTGCCAATGACAAACGGGATGTAAATTATAAAAGGATTCACCTTTTTGAAAATTTCGTAGACATTTGCCAGAAGATTTAGGCTCATAATTTAGATAGAGAAATCCCATTATGTGGCACTTCTTTTTAATTTTTTTCTATTAGTCTTTAACATATTGCCTCAAAAGTTAAACAAACAAACAAAAAACAAATTGTTCTACAATTGAAACATTTTAATTTTTTTGTAATATTTTCATTAGGTATTCCTCCATAATTTAAATAAGTCTGGCTCATGCGCACGTCTTAATTAGCTTTTTGGGATAATTGATCAACATAAGTTCAGTGAGACAAGTGAAAAGAATGAAACAATTTAAATCATTTTCCCACATTTTTTGAGTTATTCTTCTGCATGCATCTTCTAGTCTTTCACGCAGTTCTTGCAGAGACCCAGTTAGAAATACTTTACATTTTTAATATCTCAATAATGGGTTTAATCTGGAGACCGGGCAGGCCATTTGATCATTCCCAATCTACTGCTATTATTTAAAAATTCCAAATCAGCTTAATGACAAGTAGCATCTTGCTGCCACCGCTTCAGTTATTAAGTTGTCGATTTTCTTTTCTAAAAACTGTAAAGGGCCAAAAATTTATTTTTTGGGATTGATTGTGTATGGACTTCGGCAAACCAGTGGAGACTTGAGTCGCTGCTATGCCTGTTTACCGCTAAAAGAGAATTCAAAAAATTTTATTTGGGATGTTCCTGACGAACACTTTCATCTGTTTCGGCAAATAATAGAGGAAGAATATGGACCTCTAGAAATTGAACAGCAGGAGGGATTTGGAGCTGGTAGATCTTGAA